GCAGGAATCATGCAGTGTTTCCCCAAACAGCATCTCAGTCGCAAATTTTACCATTCATTATATTTACTAGATCTAAATGTTAAAAAAGAAAAACTCAAATTATCATCACAAGTTGCACAGTAGTTCCATCATCCTGAGTAAAGTGAATACATGTATGTGAAGGATGGGGGATAAAAAAAGTTTACATCCCTAAATCCTGGCTAAAAACAGTCAAATACCCTATAGCTTCAGGTTTTCCCAAAAAATCTTTTAAGAAAACAAGATGTAAATGGGAACCCACTGCTGCCATTTCGTCCTTTACAATAGTTTTTTTTTTTGTTTGTTTTTTGAGTGGCAATGCCTGAATTGCATTTGAACTGTCAATTTGGTGCATGTACAAAACATGCAAAAATAACCACATCTCTCTCTCACACACAACAAACATACATAGGGCTTACTGGTCACTGTAGCCCCTCAGCAGTGCAGAGTTAAAAATAATAATAATGATAAAACAGAACATATAGTGTTTATCATCATGGAGGTTCGAACCAACAGCAGCCACGAGCAGAAGCGTGTGACACGACCATTCAGCTGAGTCAGCTTTCTGTAGGAGGATCTCCAGTGGCATCTTCTCCAACAGGAGCTCAGGCTGCTCTCAGATTTTTGTCCACACCAAAATTACATCCTGAGCCAAAGATAACCTGGAGTCCAGTCATTATGCAGAAGTCCTCTGCTGTAGTCTTACCCTCACCTTGCTGTGCTTTCTGAAAAGGAAAACAAGTGAGTACGCGTGCGTGTGTGTGTGCGTGCGTGCGCGCGTGCGTGTGCATGACAACTTCAATAAAAAAAGGAACACTTCAATATGACAAATGTCAGCTGGTGAGGCAGTTTGTCTTGTCTGTTTACCGTTGTGGTGATGACACCATGCACTTCCAAAGGAGGGCATACAAAGCAAGTATAAAGGTGATGAACACTGTGGCTGCAATTGCACCTGAAAGCACAAAAACATATTTACATGTTAAAACATCTGCATGTGTTCTAATAAGTATCATTCACTGTGTTGTATCTTCTGTAGGGAATATTGCAGAATTTATATTTTTTAATCTGTTGAGCTGAATGAACCAGTTAATCTACAGAACATACTGTTCATTTATCCTTCATTATTATACATCAACAGAATTCCCCAACTACTGTATCTCTTCGTGTTTTGAGAATTTCTCCTTTCCTGTCAGAGGCTGTATTTGTAAATGTAACCTTTCAGAGCTCTGCAAACTAGTATCCTATGATCACAATATTACAGACACCTGAGAAAATTCACTGCCTGACCCAAAGTTCTTGTCTGAGACTAATGAACTGACGTTTTACACATTTCTACACACAATTTGATTCTGGCCAGCAATGAACTATGTCGTAACAGAACATTTGATTTCGCCATCCCTATCTGTGGCAGCCTCTTAGTTCCAAGAAGTGCACAGTTTACTAAGATTATGTTACATCATCTTTTTAGAAATAAACGCCAAACTTTTAAAAATGCTCAAGGGGGATCACAGGTTTGTGAAGAGGCATCAATTTAAAGTTCGATTCCCAGAAATGCTGCTTCCCATTTGGTCACACATCTGCATGCTCTCACAGTAAAACACTTCCAAACACATGGCAGTGTGGTCCCTCCCCAAGCAAACAGAGGCACGGACACATGAGGGATACGGGGTCCCCAAAGTGCAAAGGTTCTCTAGTACAAGGTTCAGATGATAAACACAAAACAGACCTTAAAACAGTGCAGATATAAATGCAATTAGTGGAAAGGTTGTTTCTGAATCAGTGAGGATTTTGGGGAAATCTCTGTCTTTCTCAGCCAGTGAAAATAGCCCCAAGCGATTCGATCAAAATCACAAGATGTCTGTTGCTTTGCAGTGACACTCCAAAAAGAACTGCCAAATAAAAAGTTTCTGAATGTTTCTTTAAAGTTTGGTTTGGTGTTGGTGGTGTAACTTGATTCCCCTTCATTTTTGAGTCCTGACTCCAAGTTAAACAGACAGTGTGTGTGTGTGTTTTTTTTATGTAAACAGGTCCTACAGAGCCTGTTCAGACATCAGATTTTGGTCAGTGTGATGCTCACCAGGGATGATTCCACTGGTCCTGGTTGTAGAGTTTTCTGTGCAGGAGGGACGAGTGGCAGCTGCAGTCGAACCTCCATGGGGGAGAAAATAGAAATACACGAAAACAACGCTAACATAAGAGACTGTGATACATCTGACCACAAAATTTAGATTAAAAAAAGTTTGTGAAATCTAGCGATCTAACATTTGAACAGTTCCATACCAGCTTCTTCATTTACATTAAAAAAAGTTTTGGTTTAGATTATCATCTAGCAACTACAGGTTTCCTCTTCTGCATTTATGTCACCAGGCAGGGATCTATCAGCATCTCTGACACTTTGCTACATGTCTTGTGTTGCTCAGAACAAAAGGATTAACTACCAGTCATTTCAAGATGACACATGCTGCTAAATGGAATTTACAAGGTGGATTTCCCTGTTTATCTGGTGCTGTAATCTCACTGAGCTGTAATCTCACTGAGCTATATTACATAGTCAAGGCCCTTTAACCCCGTGTTGTATTGACATGATTGTTTAATAAACAAACTGTGACAGACAACGTTTTACTAGAAAAAAAAATCCCAAGATACCAATCTGGTGAGCTTTTGACTACAACTCAAGAAGAAGACAGAGAAAATAAACCTCACCATTTCTCTGTAGGACAGTGTGTAAAAGCTGCCGTGTAATATTTGGGTCAACCATCTGAAAATGCAGCAAAACATTCATGCTTGAACAAAAAAGCAGACACCAAGACAGGACAATGCATTGCACTCTTACTCAGGTAACAACACGTCTTGTATATGTTAACAGATGCCACCTCATACAATGGCATTCAGTTTGAACAGAAACAAAGAAAGCAAGGTGCGTGGTAAATGGAAAAGACGTGGGAAACTGGTTGCAGGAAATCAATGTGGAAAATCAGAATGACAGGAGCAGATAGAAACTGTGCGAGACACGTTTCCAAAACATTCACGTTGAGAAAACTAGGGTTTCTGTAGTCTAGCTGACATGACCATAAAACAGCTGCAAGCCCTGGTAAACCAGGTGAACTTATTTCAGGTTGTCAAGTCAGACTACATCCCGACTGATACATTTTGTGCTTTAGTACACTTTGGAAAAGTCCGTTTTCCGCTGTAGCGTCTTACCTTTGAGCTGCTGACAACTGTGTTGCTCTTGTTTGTCGGCCCCGTCCACATTTTTGACTTTGTACGGTCAGACTTATTCACACCAACATGTTTCCTTGTTACCTCAAGGTGTTTTCTTGGCACCTCAGCTTTGCGTCGAGACGCTCCTCTCGTGCTGCGTTCAAGTGCTTCTCCCAACCTCGGCTCATGATGTAGGTTGGGTACTGGTGCCAGACAAAAAGCTGGATCCGGACACATGGGGCTCATCCTCTTAGGCATAATTACGTAATTACGCACGGGAGCCAGGGTAGTAAAATGTCAGTTGTTTAGTGTTCACTAACCACCTCGTTTGTAGGTGTCAAAGCTACACTCGTGTCTTTCATGGATGCAGTTAAATTGCAGCATTTCCTACAACAAGTGAAGCGATTCTCTGCTGACTTTTCTACAGACAGGCACAAGATGCCAGCTGATCCAGGTTGCTCATTAAAGATACGGATATGAACTGTTGACTTTCTGCTGCTGCCAAGAACAAGTTTACCTTGACATCATTTTACAGGATGTCTTACACCATCGAAGAGCCACCTGAGAAAAAAAAATCCAGCCTGAACCAACGAAGATATGGCACACCAGAAACAACTTTTATCTAACCGTTCACCTGTTTTATAAAAAAATAAGTGATTGAACAAATCACTGCACCAAAAGCATGCTGGTACAGACAGGAAAAACAATTGACCGATTCCATTTTTAATTTGAACACCACATCTGGATGAAAACGTTTAATGCAGACTGTTCAATACAGTAGCCAGTAGGATCTGACCTGCAGTTAGTTACAGCACAACTCCACAAATTTGACAGATGTTCAAATTCAGCACATCAATTGCAAATGCTCAGAAACCACTCTGGGCAAGCTTCATATGGGGGTTTGTCAGAAGAACAGCATACACACATGGTCAATTTACTGCTTTTGAGATTAATAATGCCATGTACTCTACCTTAAGGAGAGACAGTCTGCAGAGATATTGCACTGAAGTTTACACTGTAAAAGCAGAAAGAGCAAATACAGATCTCACTCACTCACACACACCCGGATGGTGTATATCAGCACATCATATACACACACACACACACACACACACACCAGAAAGAGAGCAGATACACATCTAAATATGCAACCAAAGTAAACTGATCAGCGTTAACATGAAGAAAGACATTTATACAGAATCAGACCTAAACTCATAGTGGAAAAAAGTCAGCTGTGGAGTGTCTTAAAAGTAGAGTGGGACGAGAAACCATTCACAACAAATCTCTCTTTACAAACATGATCTATTTTGGGAAAAACCTGACTAGCACACAATGAGGCCAGAGAGTGCAGCAGCAGCACGAGGTTCCCCAGAATCACCTCAGTCACAAGAAATGATGGTAGAGTATCAGTGATCCCAGGTTTGAGAGGTACAGACAAACCCTGAAATGCAAATGTCTGAACTCTACAAGCTTGCTTAAGTGCAAGGTGTATTGACTAGCAGAGTGATGGACAACACAAATCTTAAAACTGTATGTTAGCCACATTGTAGCTTTAAGATGCATGAACAACATAATCTTCAAAGGTGGGAATGTTTAATTCATTTACTGATATGACAACAAAGAAAAGCAAATAGGTGTTGTCACTTCTATTTAAAAAAAAACAACAACAACAAAAAACATCACTGTAAAATTATTTTGCTATTAGCGGTCCAAGCAAACCATCTGTTGTCTTGGCTCATTTAGAGTTTTCAGACTGACCTCAGCAATGAGGCTCACTGGAACAATACAGCAAATAACCATGGCCACCTGGTGGGCATAAAATGTTATGCCTGCATGAAAAACCAAATATTGAAAGAGTGAACCAAAAGAGTGACATACTATGAATTCCTAAAATAAGACTGTGAGATTGTCAGAGTTACTTGAAGCAGAAGCACAACTGTGGTTAATACTCTCTCAAAAACCGTAAGAGCTGAGATCAAATTGTTAAGATCCAATTCAATCTCAGTAACATTAAATGGGTTGAAGACAACACGTCACCAATGCGCAATGTCACACTAATACGTCCTCAGCTGGTACTGAAACACCACAGATGTTCACCCTTTGAAAGGTTAAAAGCAATTCAAATGTTACTTCTTCTCCTAACTAAACCCATCACTCCTTCAGCCCCCATCAGCCAGGTCACACTCGGGTCTGGCCGCCACCCTCCACCCTTTCTTGCTTGCCTTCTGGCACCTCATCCCAGATTAGACTGCTTCCAATCTATCCTTTGTGTTGAGAGCTGGCAGGTGGTGTGTGATGGGAGTTGTAGGAAAAGCAAAAAGGCAGAGAGAGGCGTGTCCATGAGGACGAGGCAGTGACATCACATGATTTCACAGCATGAGTTCTGTTTTCGTGCCTGCGGAGGTAACGTGAACACGCATGTTAACACAGCAACACAGTCAGGCATCTAAACACTGGCTGGCCAACAGTTTTAAAGTTCAGTGTTGATAAGGTGTGTTGTCAGAACTTACAGTCTTGTAGAAGGCTTTGGACTGGTTTCCCAGATGCTCTGACTTTGCCACAAGATCATCCAGTTTCTCTCCTCTCTCCAACAAACTCTCCATGGTGTTATGCTACAAAAACAAAATCTTTCTTTATGAAATAGTGTGCACTGTAAAGATTCTGTCTCAACAGGGGCTCTGGAAATGCTACATACCGTTTCAGGCATGTAGTCACAATAAAATTGAAGCACTAATAACAGACTCTGGTGTTATAACTATAACTGAAAGTTGTGCCACTATGAGCTCCTCTCAGTTTAGTACTCCAGTAATAGTGGGATCTACTTCATACAAGTGTTTTGCTATAAGGGAACATTTATTTCAATGCCTTTACTTAAAGCTACAGCAGTAACTTTTTGCCTAATATTTTGCTGTAGAAATGTTTTGAAACTTGTCTTAATGTGGAGAGGTGCTGTCAAAACCTCCTGTGACCCAGATTGAAGAGCACTGGCAGCAGTGCAGAGGTATTAGCTTCTAAAAGGTTTTGAGCAGGACTGACCTCTAACCAATCAGATATTTTCAATTACTTATGCTTGATCAGTAAGTTTAGTTGCTTTCTCATTTCTTGCAATTTCATAACGACAAATATCTGAACAGTGGGGCAGAGCGTGGTGGAGCGTAGCAGAGCATAGTGGGGCAGGGAGAGGGAGCACTGGGTGGAGCAGAATGAGTTGATTTGGAGTTTCCTGCTGTTGCCGCCTTAAGTTACACACTGTAGCTTTAAGTGAGTAGGCGCGTATATTTCAGCCTATTGATTAAAGCACTGAGTCTCAGCTTATGGAGGTAGTTCACCAAAATGATCTTTGTCTCATCCAGCTCTGCCTGCACTTTGGTCATTGCATCTGCTTCCCTGGGGTTCTGGGAAAAAGACAGAAAGAACACACAAGACATTGTCAGGTACACTGCTACCGCATGGTCATTTGGCAGCATTTCATAATCCAGCTCGATTGGCCGCAAACAGAATCAAATTTCATCTTCATGCCTCCATCTTTACATTTTTTAAAACATTTATTTAGTCAGGGAAGGTCCACTGAGAGGCCACCTGTCTTTTTGAGGAACACCCTGATCACATTCACAACGACCACAGTCTGAACTGTTGGCCACTCAACTTCACTGAAGTCATTGTGGGAAAGCCCTTTACTCAAGGTGTTGATGGGCTGCTTGGTCATTTGTGCTACCCAGATATAATCCTGCTCATCAGGGGACTGAACCAGCAATCTTCCAGTTACAAGCTCATTTCTCTTCCCTTTAGGCCACTACTGCCCACTGAAGAGCATATCTCAGTACTATTTAGTAAACAGTGTCACATAGGAAAGTTTGACAAATTTGGCACCCACATGAATCTATTAGTGTTCTAAGTACACAGTGATAGCCATATGCTTTCAGGGCTCTCCTTTGACTTGTTTTAGGGTAAACAGATTACACCCTCACCTGGTATTTAGCAAGGTGAATATCCAGGGCTTTATAGTTTATGGTTTCAGGACTGCCAGAAGGCCAGTCTATACTATCCACTTGCTTGGAGAAGTCCTCTAATACCTAAAAACAAATCAAATCAAGTCAAAATGTATTTATACAGCAATTTAAAAACAACATCTTGTTGACCAAAGTACTTTACAAGGACATGGTCAGAACTAAAATAAATAAGATCAGTAGAGGAATACAACAACATAGGAACACAAACACACAAATTACACAGAATCAATAGTTAATAGAAGGAAGCATCAGACAATACTATGTATTAAAAGCCAAAGTGAATAAATATGCTTTAACCAATGATCTAAAAGTTAAAGTCTGTAGATGATCTAATATTGGGAGGTAAACTATTCCACAATTTAGAAGCCGCAACAGTAAAAGCATGGTCACCCCAGCATTTGTATCTGGCCCTGGGAACCTCTAAAAGAAACTGGGTTGATTATCTGAGCAATCTTGTAGGTTCATGCCACCTCACCAACTCAGCAAGGTAAGGCGGTGCCAAACCATTAAGAGCCTTAAAAATAAAAATCAATAGCTTAAAATGAATTCTAAAATGGACTGGAAGCCAGTGAAGAGGCTAGTACTGGGATTATATGGTCAAATTTCCTGGTACCTGTTAAAAGACGAGCCACAGCATTATGGACCATTTGAAGACGAGTGAAAGACAACTGATTAACACCAAGGTATAATGAAAAAAACCTTAGAAAAAATCAACTGGACATAGATTTCTAGATCGAAGACGTTTCACCTCTCATCCAAGAGGCTTCATCAGTTCTGACTGACTGACATAATGCATTACAATAGTCAAGTCTGGAGGTTATAAAAGCATGACTGCAATCTCAAAATCATTAAAAGAAAGAAATGACTAACAACCTCAGGTGAAAGAAACTATATTTTACAACTACATTGATCTGCTGTTTGACAATGACTTAAAACAGACATGTTCAATACTGACAATGACAGTAAAAGTGCAACAACTATGTTTCTTTATTGACATATTTTCTACCCACCTTGTCCAGCAATGTGAAACAGACTCTCTGTGGGTATTCAGTATCTGCGATGACCACAGCACCCAGGTTATCATTTCTCACATACACATGGCACAGGTACTCTTAAAGCAAGAGAAATAAAACGGTGTATTTACATGATGTAGCCCAATGAGAGGAAAAAGAAAACATTCCTCTTGGTTGCTGGTAAACACCACAGAGTCCAATGTTAAATGAAACTGATGTTCCCAAAAATTTAACATAACTGACCCCACTCCTTTTTACCTTGTTCTTTTACAGAGGCACGGCTTCCTTGAGTTGTTCGTTCAACAATCAAGGCACTTGTGAAGGTCATGAACTCCTGAACACTAACAAACCAAAACAATTATATCACTTTTGGAGAACACAGGAAAGGTCAGATATGCTGCTTGTTAGACTTGGCCTTATCATTTGTAACAGAGTAAAATGTTTCGTCGGTCACATATGTCAGTAGTGACCAGTCAGACGCACCTGGAGCGCTGAAAGAAGCTGAAGGAGGACAAGTCGTAGGCCGCTTTGAGGAGGTTGGCTTTGGTCGCGCCTTTGTAGAGGATGCTGAGGCTGTAGAGCTTCATACTGCCGCTAGATCTGTTCTGGTCACAGCGGGTACGATCACACAGCTCTGGTGATCTAATTCGAAAAATGAAACAAGCAGAGCCATATGAGAACACTATCCCTCATCTAAACCAGTATGCTAGCTTCCCCGCTAACAGTACCGCTGCTAAGGAAACTGGAGTCCCAAACAGCTGACGAGTGCTAGGTTAAAAGTGAAAGCAGCCGCCGGCTAACCAGCTGTCCTTCTTCCTTGGGTTAAGTGTTTTCTCAAGAAGAAAACAATATGTTTAACCAGCAGCGAGTAGTACCATGTTACCAGAGTCTGGCGGTAACATAGACGCAGTCTAAAGTTTACAGGATGATATATTTCTGAAGTCAAGCACACTGCTAGCTACAAATGCTATCTGCTCTTCGGGAGGCCTCGGCTAACTTACCAGAATAACCAGCAGCAAATAGTTTGATTCCAGTCAAAAGAACTTAAGAAACCTGCTTTTTAACATAAACTAAAACCTGTAACCATATACAGCTCCCTTCCCAGACACCTAATCCAATGTAGTCAGCGAGAACTTAATCGATTTCAAGATACAGTTTTACACCCAAACACCACGTCACGACCCCAATTGTCCAACGGGATATTGACTCCGATGTAAGCACACCGCTGCTCTCCCAGGTTCCGGTTTAATATAATATAGTCGTGTATTATTAAGTGTTTCTGGGCAATCTTATGCTTTCAGTTAATATTCTCGAAATCGATACTATTAACATTTCCCCAGAAGTGCAATAAAATAATAAACAAAAATTGCACGGTTGTCTGCAACTTGTTAATGAAAAGATGTATTTTTCTCTTCATGACCAAGTCCCATTTTTATTTACTGATACATTCTATATATGAATGAATACATGAAAACACAAGAGAATGTTTTTTTAAACAATGAAGCAATGTTAAAAATAAAATCAGTAAAATGATTTAGCCAAAACATGTAAAATGATTTAGCCAAACATGCCAATGTTCATCTCTAGTCCCTGTGGGTGGCTGGTAAACACACATTCTACAGAACAAAATTAAGTATTATTATTATTATTGTTGTTATTGGTATGAGTTGCACAGCTTGGTGGCCAGGCTTTCATCTGTTTTGTCTACAAAAACATGCTCTCCTCACTTGATGTTTTCTCTGGTAATCTTGCTCCATTTAACAATTTCCTCATGGCCACTTAACTCACTGGTAAGTGTTTTCCATGGCAAACGTGTGTCTGTAATTCATTTCCAAGGCAGCACACTGAAATCTTTATGGGATGGAAACCGCAAAGCTTTGAGCGCATCTGTTGACACATCTTCTGCACTGGGCGAAGAAATCACTTCTCCCTTAAAGTAGTTTTTGTTTTGTTAACATTCTGAAGTAACAGTGTCAGTAAGAAGTTCAGCTAAGAGCTGGAGGTTTGCTTAAAAATTCTTAGTTTTTTATTCTAAAAATTAATGGTTTGTCACAAGAATGAAGGTTTGGATAGAAACCTTATTCTGCTTTTCTTGTTTCATTGACTGCTGGAGCGGATGGCACATTCAAAGCGCAATTATGGATATTAGCTGGAAGGATGAAGACAAATCCATGGTTTTTACATAGCAATGAGGATGAATAATTTTTTTCATATTATATAAGAATGAAGATAAATGCAAAGGCTTTTTCATGAAATGTGTGCAAAAGTGAAGATGGCTTTTTAGTTTTTCTTATAAATGTCTGCAAGAATGAAGACTAATCCATAGGCTGTTTGTACCACCTCTGCCTTGCTTTCTTAACAATTTCATGTCCCGTGCTACACATACAGTATGTACTGTAAATGTTTTTGAAAGTAGCTTCTGAACATTATGGAGATCAGAATTACTGGAAATATTATAATTGATGAGAAAGTTCCCATAAAAGGATAAGTTTTTTTTTTTTTTTTTTTTTACACTTTATGGACGCTGAGTTAAAACATCATAACAACAAAAACTTAGGAATCTCCACAGCATTTGGGAAGAACAAGTACTGCAGAGCACCGATGGTCAGCAGTGGATACGATGGATAAGGTAAATACATGTAGATTTAGTTCATCAAAGTCAACATTGCATTTTACTCAATGAACAAGTCAGAATGCATAAATAGGTAAACAGGTAAATGGTGAAAGCTAATTCAAATAAAAAAAAAAAATTTAGGCAAACTTTTCAGAAATACTGTTAATACAGTGTTTGAATTTAACAGACTTGTTATGTAACTTAATTTAAGAAAATAATAGGCATAAAAATGTTTTTGTTTAACTGAAAAAACCTCAAATTTATTAAGCTTTTCTACATACAAATGTAAACAATGCATGCTGTGTACAATTAAATTTTTGCAAATTTATATGTCTTATAGCAAGTTAGTATAACATTATACCATGCTCTGTTCACACTTAGCAAGAAAATACATTTTTACAAATCTAATTATGGAACACAATAGATAGGTGGTCTTAAATGCAACACATTACTATTATGTTAAAGTGAAGTTTCTTTCATTTTGTCATGGCTTTATGCTTTAGCAGCACACAGTGTCACATCTGGCAGGGGTTGAAGGCAGCAAAGGTGGTCATTGGTGAAATGAGGTGATAGATATGTGTTTTGTTGCTTCAATACAAACAGAACTCCAAAGGATGAGGCATATAAAGATGCAGTTCAGCCTTCTAGGAAGGTTCTGTAGGTCATCTTTACTTATCCCCTTCAATCTTAAGGTTTCCTCTTCTGGCTCCTCAATTTTACCAGGTATCCAACTAACATTTAATGATGCTGTCCCTGCACTATATCCCTCCCAAATCTAGTTTAGTTTATGTGATCATGAACTGTCACATAATCCATCCAGCATCATGGGAATCATTGAAATCCATCCAAGTTTATACAAAATACTGCAACATTAAAATTATTATGTTTAAATGATTAAAAACCTAACCTGCCTACTTTAACCTTGTCATTTCCACCAAAGCAGCTGTATAGTGAGTGAAATCATTCCTTCAGTGTCCTGTCTCTGATCTGGAGTGCTCATTCTTTCAATTTAAGTTTGAGACAAGAAAAGTTGGTGACAAATCTAGAACAAAACAAGAAACAAAGCCATAAAAATGTAACTACAAAAATGCCGGGCTCCTTTTAAGACAAGGGGACAAAAGCCTATGGGTCATATTAGAGGGATGACACAAATGACCAATGTGTGTTGTACTGTATAGGTTGGAGGACGTGTTGAATTCACAATAACCCAATCCATATACAACCAGGCTTTATCATAGTTTCATTGTCAGTCTACAAATCTGTAGATGTATGACTGGAAAAATAGACTACAGTGTTACATAGAGCAGGAACCAGTTAGAAGATAAACACAAACACCAGGCCAGGCTATTGTTAGCCATGCTAGCTTCATTTACAAGTTTCAGTTGAATATAAATTAAGATAGCATGCAGCAGTGAGACAGTCTTTAGCTCCCAAAAATCAAAATGCTGGACAGCCAAGCCTACAGGTAACAGTCAACCACAACAATAATACCTTCTAACAATGAGGTGGTGAATACTGCTGAGACAAAGACTCCATTGGAACACAGAGAAAATTCAAACCAACTTGCCAAAGCTATAAAAGGTGATCAGGCCATTGGGTGTTTCTGGTTACAACCACAGGCAAACACAGAACTTGATAGGATAGTTAAATATAGTGCTGACCAGAATGAACGTGACTGGACAAACATCTTGTCCAAAGGTTACTGTCTAACTTCTTATATACTTCTTATATTAAATTACTTATATTAAAGTACTTGTGAAACAAAACTAATTATTTCTCTTCCATGTGGGGTTGGGGGTGTTGTGGTAATGGGTGTCCATGTTGCTCCCACCCTAGTATTTAACCAATTGAATCACTGAGACAAATTCCTTCAAACCAAAGCACAAAACAATGTAAGGACAGCCCTGTGCAAAAAAAGCCACAAAGATTGGAGAGAATATTTTGTTAAAATACTTTAAAGAGTGTTGCCTGCTCTAATCACCTACATATTTATACAGTTTAAGTCAACTAACCTGCCTTTTTGTTTTATAGATAATAAATTAGTCTGATAGTCTAAAATACAATATACAAACATTTCTTTACATTTCCTTGGCCTGTAATCAAACATGGTGACTTACTGTAAGTGGTTTACTGTGTGAGAGACAGCTGGCTGAATAGAGCCCCATCTGTGAAAACAACTCAGTGGGTTAAATTAACCAGATAATCACCTACTGGCAAGCACTTGGCACACATTCAAATCTCTACAGCTTGCTTTCGATGTTTTCAGTTTCTTCATTTCTTAGTTCTTCATGGTAATTGTATTTGTTAGATGCAGTCAACTAATAACATTTTTTGGTTGGACAATATAAGTTTTTATCACAGAAATGCAGGCAAGCACTGATAAGATAAGATGAGATAACTTTACTAATCCCTCACCAGGGAAATTCACTTGTTACAGGAAGTGGAATAAATAAAAAAAGCTCCCAAAATAGTATTTACTAAATAAATACTAAATAGTACATAATCAATATAGTATTATAACAAAATGATGATGGAAACACCTTCCATCTACAGTAGCAAAGTTGTTCTCTACTTTCTTTAGCATGTTGTGGTAATTAGTGTTAAAGGCTGCTGCTACTCAGGTCCTAATCTGAACCCATAAATAGGTCACCTGATTTACAGTAGGGATAGCTACCCTGCTGCTGGCTGTATTTATGAGCATCAAGGCAGAACTGGGATAGTTTATTTTAAAAGTGGACAGATTTCCAGAATTTTCTAAAGTATTTAATTAGGAATTGTCAACACAAAATAACAATGTGTTGTCCGCACACATTGGCGCAGAGTGTGTAGCCAAATTTAATTGGAGTTATTAATGTACTATTACAGATAAATGGGCAAAGTTAAACAGTGATGAATAAAAGAATAAACCGAATAAATGTGGGGCCTAAATTGAATTCTGAAATTGTTCTCCATAGATAACCCCACTCTAGTTCATCAAAGGCTTATTTTTATCTTCTGAATTTATCATCTTGACTTTTCAATTATGTACTTTCCCAAACTAAAAGCCAGTTAAAGGGACATTTAATAGTAGAAGGTATCAATTATGTGCAGCATGTGATTATATTGCATAAATGTGTTCACCTTTAGGCCAGTGCCATTATTGGTTTACTCTGAAATCCTGCAGTCAGGGCACTGTAGGAAAGGGTCACAGTTACATTACAGGCAGAGTCCAGAGCTAAAAAAAGCTCAGACCTTTGGTCTGGCAAACTACTGGAGCTGATAAGCACAAGAGACCTTCACCTGCAACAAATTATTGTTAGTTTTAGAGGTCATCATTCCCTTGCTGTTGCTAATTTTAGACAGGTTTCTAATTTTGCAAATATATGTGTAACTCTTGGACCTCTGAAGTTCCATCATTGAGCAACCCTGTGGCACTGCAAGTTGCTCTATCGAATAAAAAGAACAAGGAGTTCAGATCACCAGTTTCTTGATCTTATGTGTTTGATTTGTCTTGTTGGTGGGCTGTGAATTCCCACTCAGTTGGGTCAGCTTCAGGTCACACTTTGCTACATGAAAGCAAAGAATAATTTACCAAAATGATCGTAAGTCTTTTTTTTTCATTAGGTTAAAAGTAATCTGATATTTTACAGTTTATACCTTAACTGTAACAAAGTATTCAGTTACTGACATTGATCATTGTGAAATTATATATGTACATATATATATAAAATGGCCAAACTGAATTGTACTCACAAGAACAGATTAGGTTAGAATATGTGAAATAGGTGGTGCTAGCTTTGATAATCAGCATTTGTAAAATGTAATAGGCCATAAAACCAGTAGTTCACAATATGATTAAGCAAACTATTATTATTATTGTTATTATAATTATTATTATAACAAACTTTATTAATTCAGAGTAGGTTCTCTGAGAGGCTACCTGTCTTTTTCAGGAGTGCCCCTTTCGCTTTCATACAGTTCCACATTCACACCTGGAAACTGCCCGGTACAACCACAGACGGAACTGTGGCTACTAGAAGGTATAAATTACATGCAGTGGTGTTAATGAGGGTGCGTACTGCAGGAGAGGGTCACAGTTACATTACAGGCAGAGTCCAGAGCTAAAAAAAGCTCAGACCTCTGGTCTGGCAAACTACTGGAGCTGATAAGCACAAGAGACTTTCACCTGCAACAAATTATTGTTAGTTTTAGAGGTCATCATTCCCTCGCTGTTGCTAATTTTAGACAGGTTTCTAATTTTGCAAATATATGTGTAACTCTTGGACCTCTGAAGTTCCATCATTGAGCAACCCTGTGGCACTGCAAGTTGCTCTATCGAATAAAAAGAACAAGGAGTTCAGATCACCAGTTTCTTGATCTTATGTGTTTGATTTGTCTTGTTGGTGGGCTGTGAATTCCCACTCAGTTGGGTCAGCTTCAGGTCACACTTTGCTACATGAAAGCAAAGAATAATTTACCAAAATGACCGTAAGTCTTTTTTTACTAAGTTAAAGGAAATCTGAGGTACTATATGTTATAATATATGTGTAACTCTTGGGTCTCTGAAGTTCCCTTGTAGAGCAACCCTGTACCACTGCATGCTGCGCTTCTGAATTAAAAAAAAAAGTTCAGATCACACCTTTTTAAAAAGAAAATATACAAGTCAGGGTAGTCCAGCAATGTTCCCATGATTCATGGTCTTATACTTGTTTGACACTTTTCTATGCATTACAGCACACTCAAAGCGCTTTAACACTATTTGCCCATTCACACATTCACTGGGAGCAACTGGGGGTTCAGTGCCTTGCTCAAAGACACTTTAACACATGGACTGGAGAAGCCAGAAACTGAACGAGCAACCTTCTTGTTAGCAGATAACCCGCACTACCTCCGGAGCCACGGTCACCCCATTTGAGCTTGAATTTTTTTTTTACTATAAATGCAGAATAAAATAATAATTTCTATTGCATCATGATGGAGCACCTTGTAGAAACTAGTTGTACACATAATATAATATTTATCATATAAATCCATCTAGATGCTGTGCTAGTCAGCAGTTAGCTTGAATTTCTGTTTCTGGGTCTGTAAAGTTTAATTCTTACTTTATAGAAATTAGGTCATGTTTGACTCTTTTTTTTTTTCTTTTTTGAACTTTGCACAATGTCTTTACTTACGTATGTGTGTGCGAGTCCGTGAACCTACATTGCCAGATGGGGTGAGTTTGGAAGGGGTGGGAATTTGTGTCCAGCCCACTTCACCTTAGCATAAAAAGAGTGGAGGTTCTCGTGGTAGTCACACTTCTCTGACTCTGCACGTGCATAGGGTGGACACGCGCTCACCACAAGCCTAGAAACACATACAGAAGCTAATTTAGATAAATCAGTGAAAATGCCGTGTGTCAGTTCTCATCTCGACCAGATGGTGATGATGCCTTGCAGCTACAAGTCTGTGATTGAGACAATTCTCATGGTAAGATTTACTATGAAGTATTTGTCGATGCTTGAGTGCTTTATACCTTTAGAATACCTATGAATTTGTGCTTTTAGTTCATGTGACTATTGAATTAACACCAGCCTTTACACTCAGACTGCTCCATGTTGTACAAGACAAAACTAGGGGTGAGGAGCTTCCCTGTATTAGATAAAAACTATAGTCCACTACATGGTTTACCAACATTTTGTCTTGTGCATATGGTATAAGACTAAGAAAAGATCTGTTTTTGTGCAGCGCCTGACCTGCTCTTTTCTCTCCTCACTGCAGGTAGAGCAGATCCTGTCAGAGTTCATACTGAATAAAGAAGAGCTAAAAGAAGTCATGAAGAGGATGCAGCGTGAGATGGACAGAGGACTGCGTATAGAGACTCATGAAGAGGCCAGTGTTAAAATGCTTCCAACTTATGTCTGCTCCACCCCTGAGGGATCAGGTAGATAATTATTCTTCAGAGTTATTATTGCCACTTTTTAGACAAAGGCTTGCTAATGTTGTTAAAGTGTAATGCACTGCTTATCACTTAGTGAAAGACTACCTGTATGTTCAGATGTGGCACACTGCATGTATTGTATTGCTGTGACAGAGGTGGGAGACTTCCTGGCACTGGACCTGGGTGGGACAAACTTCCGTGTGATGCTGGTGAAAGTGGGCGCAGATGAGGAGAGGAGCTGGAAGGTGGAAACAAAGACCCAAATGTACTCCATTCCTGAAGATGCTATGACAGGGACAGCTGAAATGGTTGGTAACTCTAGGATTTACACAACAGCTCTTTTTCAGGATTAGTGCAGATTTTTCATTGCCAGTTATTCAGAGGAATCCCCTTGTTGAGCAGATATAGCTGTGTGGTGTCTGTTTAAATCTAAAATTGCCAAAAGCTTGTTTTTTTTTTTTTATTATTAACGCCGGTGTAGCATTGACTTTAAACTTCTCAGAATGACAATAATACAAATTTTTGTGCGGTTTCCCCCCACCTCATACCCTCTCCTTCTCTCTGCAGCTCTTTGACTACATAGCGGAGTGTATGTCCGACTTTTTGGACAAACATCATATCAAGCATATGAAGCTTCCTCTGGGCTTTACATTCTCCTTTCCTGTACGACACGAGGACATTGACAAGGTAGAATGTTATACTGTAAATTGAAAATGGTACTTTTATTAATAGTAGTACTCGGATAGAAACAATGACCTCCATTACATTTTCTCTTTTATATACACCTTATTTGCCAGATTTATACAAGCTCTGTATATATTGTAAAGTTTGTCCTTTTTCTTTCTTTCCATAGGGAATCCTGCTTAACTGGACCAAAGGATTCAAAGCTTCTGGGGCAGAAGGGAACAATGTTGTGGGTTTACTCAGAGACGCTATCAAGAGGCGAGGGGTGAGATGACATTTGATCATTTATAATAATATTTCTCATTTATAATATTAAACTAATAATAAACTACTAAAGATATTTAACATCTTTATATGTGCAGATGACTCTAACCACAATATAATGTTGTTTTTCAGGACTTTGAGATGGATGTGGTTGCCATGGTGAATGACACAGTAGCCACCATGATTTCCTGCTATTATGAAGATCGCAGCTGTGAAGTTGGGATGATCGTTGGTAAGATGTTGTATATGCTCTCACATGCTCATATGCGCTAATAATAATCAGAATCATGCTTAGACACATGCACATGCAGAGTCACCTGCATCTAAGGGTTGTCTTTTCTTTTTCACCAGGAACTGGTTGCAATGCATGTTACATGGAGGAGATGAGGAAGGTAGAGTTGGTGGAAGGGGAGGAAGGCCGGATGTGTGTAAACACAGAGTGGGGAGCTTTTGGTGACAGCGGGGAGCTGGAGGATTTCAGACTGGAGTATGACAGAGTGGTGGACGAGAGCTCAATTAATCCCGGACAGCAGCTGTGAGTATTCAGTTGCATTCAGTTAAAACATGCAGCGAAATTCACACATAGGAAAGCTAATAGCTTATTTGATCTAACTTTACATGTCATCCAACTTTATCTACTCTGTGTACATGTCATTAAAGGTGCTGGGAGAGATTTAAAATGTGCCACAGTCTCTCACTCCCTCTGATTTTCTGAATGAATCATCCTTCTGTGGCAGTACTCACCTGACTCTAAACTTGATAAACTAGTCAGATTAATGATCCCTCTCCTCTGCTTGCCAGAGTGTCTCTCGGCCTAATGGCTGTTTGTACATGCGCCCCTTTCACACAGATAACTGCTGAGCCCAGCCTCATTCAGTCTCTTTAGCATTGACGTTGCTGTCCTCATCCCTCTCCCTCTGTCCCAGCACATGCAAAGAAAAAAGTTGTTTGCTGATGTGTTTTGTGACGCACATATCCTTCCTGTTTCTAAGATCGTTTCAACAACCTGCCTCTAAGTTCATGTTTCCCGCCCTCCCTGTCAATCTTTCTCTCTTTTTAAAGTGGCCTGTCTCTTATTTTTCTTGCCTCTTATAGATATGAGAAGCTGATCAGTGGGAAGTACATGGGTGAGCTGGTCCGGCTTGTTATGATGAAGTTGGTAAATGAAGGCCTGCTGTTTAATGGTGAAGCCTCAGAGCTGCTGAAGACACGTGGCAGCTTTGAGACACGCTATGTCTCACAGGTGGAGAGGTGAGCATCCATGAATCATTACCTGGCTGCAGTTATCCACAGCTTAAGATTATTTTCTTTGCCAAAAGGCATAACACATTACTTATCCATGTAGACAATTAATGCATTTTCATGGGACAGAGAAAACACATAAAACAAATAATAATAATAATGTAAAGCTAGTGGGGTTACACTATATAGGCATATGCTAGGACACATGCTTATATAACAGTGTTGATGGAGAATATGGGGGACCAGTTTAGTTTACTTTACCTATAGCTGTTACCTACTGCAGTATCTGTAGAAACCTGATTTAAATTTGAATACTGAGTACAAAAGGGCATGATTATGTGTAAACATAATAGTAATATCAGTATTTATGTATTATAAATGCAGTGGAACCATTTAAAAACAGGATAAATAAGTAAGATATAGTAATGATAACACAATGTGATTTAAACATTTAGAAACGACTGCTCTTTTTAAAATTTTCCCATTTGCCATTTTTCAGCGACACTGGGGACAGAAAACAAATCTACAATATCCTGTCCTTGATGGGTGTTCTGCCTTCAGAGTTAGACTGCGATATTGTACGTCTGGTCTGCGAGAGTGTTTCCACTCGCTCTGCTCACATGTGCGGCGCAGGGCTCGCTGGTGTGATCAACCAAATGCGGGAGCGTCGCGGCCAGGAAACCCTAAAGATCACAGTGGGCATTGACGGCTCAGTCTACAAACTGCACCCATGGTGAGGAGTGACTTTTGAATATGTTAGTTTTCTGAATATGTCAAAGTGCAAAGCAATAAAAGTATGGTGCCTATATGATTAGATTGACCTTTTCTAAAACAAAAGTCCACCCTCATACAAAATGTTTTTTGACTCCCCATGGATAAGTACTGTCAAAAAGAGCTTTGAAGTGAATTTAAAAAATAAACGTTAGCTATATGAAGTGTCACTGACAGTAAATGAACCAAATAAGAATCAAGTAGTGGCCCTTGGCAAATGCTTCAAGGGTTCTTATGAAACTGCCAGGTCCACTTCATTGTAGTAAAGGAATTAGACGATTTGATTAATAGACAAAGTGACAGTGGAAAGGGAGATCAGACAGATGCTGGTTTGACTGATTCCAAACACTAAATGTGCTGTTTCTCTACCTCAGGTTCTGTGACAGGTTCCATAAAATAGTCAGGGACCTCACACCTCACTGTGAGATCACTTTCATCCAGTCGGAGGAGGGAAGCGGCCGTGGAGCAGCCCTTATCTCAGCAGTGGCCTATAAGATGGCCGTATGCATCTGATCTGACACAGTAAATGGAGCAGTGCGCTGAGCTGTCTCCCTGCAGAACAGATGCAAAGCATGCCTGACCTCTGATCTCAGAATAATGAAGACATGCCAACCACAGACCTGCAGCTCTGGCTTTTTCCAGACTCCGAGGGATGTTTGTCAGCAAACTGAATATGCACAGCTGGAAAACATACAGACAAGAAAATAGCAAGCTATTTATATTACAGACTGTGTTTGGTAATACTGGACCAACTTGTGGGAATTTCAAAGTTTCTGTGTGCTCTGAACTCTGAAAGAACTGTTGCACCCAGCATCAGGCGGCATGAAAACCTATTTAAAATACATGCTCCTTTTGTGTCACTGCTTGTTGCTAATGTTTGGTATGGTCCATGTACAGTAGAAAAATGGCTGATGTATTATTGATAATAGTATATTATAATGTTAATGCTAACTGGTTGGTGCACAATACAAGAATTATTATCTTTATAAATGTTGCTGTAAACTATAAATGCTTAAAATGTTTTGCTTTGTTGTGTAGTGGTTTAAGTCTGTGAGCAATGAAATATTTCTTTGGTATTGTATATTTACATTTTATATTAACTCCATGTATGTTAATAAGTAGGTTGTAGTTTTATATATGTGCATGATAAAATGTGCTTTGTGTCTAAATAAGTCCAACTGTAAATATAAATGCTTAATTTAAACTATTGTACTTTAAATGTATGTTGTCCTTTGACTGAGGTATGACACCAGAGCTAAGATAGCTTAGCAACTGGTTTGGGGGTTATGTGATCCTGTAAATAAACATTGAAGTTATAATATATTGCTTCTTTTGTCAATTAATGGAGCATCTCACACAGTAACACTCATGGTTGAGAAACAGTATTAAAAGGTAAAGCTGGTCATTTTTTATATTAACAGTATTTTCAACACTCCCCACACAATGAATGACTTGCCTCTGTTCAGGGTTAATCTGACTCTGTGTCAATCCTGAATCAGCTTATTCCTCTGTGCCACAGACCTCCATTATTGTCCAAAAACAAATAAAAACACACCAGTGAAACACACTGCTGCACTGAGTAACATGTTTCTTCCTTTTAAAACACAAGAGCCTGATGTTTGTTAAAATATCTGAAGATCTCCTGCATGGACATTTGACTTTTGCTTACTTCAGATGTTGTCAAAAGTTATGGTGGTTCAGAGCCTTTGGGTAATGTTTTTTCATTTCTTCAAAGGTCACTCTCCCCTGTCTCCCCTCTCGCCTCTCCCTCTCTGTTCTCCTTATCTTGGTTTTCCAGCCCATAGGAATCCTGGCTGCTTCACCACCTCTTATCAGGTCCCCTCTATGACACAAAGAGAGCAGCCATGGCCATGTAAGGGACTGTGCTGCCCACCACAGGCTATTACAGGAGGGTAGATGATAAGATGGGTCACACATAAAACCCACTCCAGCATCACACCTTGGCTGGGAGCTCACATACAAACATTCAGACATGGTAAGTCAGTCAGTGTTCCATATTTCGATACTGTCAGTCAGTGGTGATGTTAAAAAAACTGTCACACAATTTAGGAATCTTATTATTGTATTGTATTTAGGATATTGTGTGGTATTTAGAAACATAATTGTGCTATTGTGAAAGTGGCTGCTTTGTATGCGTCTGACATATGATTTGTGTGCATATTTGGATGTAAAGTGAATGAGTTTGTGCTCATCTTCTCAGGCAAGTAAAAAAGCCTCCAATAAGAGACAAAGGGGACAGAAATCGAGCTCCAATGTCTTCTCCATGTTCGAACAGTCCCAGATACAGGAGTTCAAGGAGGTACACGGCTTACTTTTAACTTTTCTTGGAGGAAATTTGTGTATAGGAACCTGTGCTTTATGCAAGGGAATGCAAATTTACAAGCAATTCTCTTTCTTTATAACTGGAGTGGCTTAACAAACAAAATTAGTAAAAAGTAAACCTCAGTTGCAAACAATTTAAATTTGTGTTGGAGAGATTTAAAATGTACAACAATTTTGAGTTTGATTTCCCAGTGTAGGCATTACGTTTTGCTCAACCTACATTTTGTTAATAGTCATAATTACCCTTTTGATTTTTAACAACAATGGATGATGAATAATGCTGAACCTACTTTGGAGGTGCACTAAATAACATCTGAAGCACCTACTGAAGAGTAAAAACAAAAAGCAGCATAGAACCTATTTATAGTTCAGCCTGTATTATTACACTCGGTTAAGGAATAGGTATCATAATATAACCAACATATAATAATTTAATAATTGGTGTATTTGCAATTGTGAACATGTATTTATTTATTTGATCTTTTTATCCTACAGGCTTTTGGCTGCATTGACCAAGACAGAGATGGTGTTATAAAAAAACAGGAAATGAAGGAGACCTATGCACAGCTGGGTAATTTATACCTTTAAATCTTTATCTTAATATATTAACATATTTAATATATTCATTTATACATAAAAATAAAAAGGATCAGCTTTGCTGTTGCAGTCTGCTTTTTTAAACACATTTAATACATTTGTTTGAATTGATTGACTATTGTGTGCATTTGTATGTATGAGTGTGTGTTTGTGTTTTTGTACCAGGGAAACTTAATGTTAAAGATGAGGAGTTGGAAGAGATGTTGAATGAAGGCAAGGGTCCCATAAACTTCACAGTGTTCCTGACTCTTTTTGGGGAGAAACTCAATGGTGAGAACTTTTCTCAGATAGTCAAACAAATGTTTGAGTTTTTATGACGGACTTTCAGATGATGCTGGGTATTTAGGCACATTTTGTCCTTCAGGTACCGATCCTGAAGACACCATACTGGCTGCCTTCAAACTGTTTGACCCTAATGGGACGGGTTTTGTTAATAAGGATGAGTAAGATACACTTTATTAATTAGCTTCCATGTTATTCATATTTTGCATATTATCCATAATTTTACACTATCTTATTCACCTTTTCTTGTACACTTAATTTTGTCTTGTTAATCCAGATTTAAACGGTTACTGATGAACCAGGCTGATAAATTCACAGCAGAAGAGGTTTGTGTTTTCTACTTTTCTATCTCTCTTTCAATTTTATGCCATTCCTTACAATAGTAACTTTAACCGTGCATAAACCTCTAGGTGGATCAGGCCTTTGCTCTGGCTCCCATTGACCCAAGCGGCAACATTGACTACAAGTCACTCTGCTACATCATCACTCATGGAGATGAGAAGGAAGAATCCTAACAAGCCTTGCTATTCATACAGTCACGTCATACAGGTCACTTGAACACAATGATTCAAAAACATAAATGTTGGAATATGTGGTTCAATCAATGTCAAATGTTCAGCGGTTATAACTGCAGAAGTTCTGTTGGTATTATGAATAAGATCATTTGTTTGTGTGCTTTTAACAGTAGAGTGTTGTGCTCCTCAAAAGTTTCTTTGTTGATACTCATTTTGATAACCAGTACTGTACTAGAATAAAACAACAATCTTACAATTACCTTGCATTGGTGTAATTTTTGATTGTGACCCTTTGAATCAAATAAAATAATCTAATATCTATATTAATCTTTATATACATCTAAATACAATATATATCGATCTATATATTTATTTATTTATACAGTATCTATCAATATAGCTACATCTATATTTAACTATAGTATCTCTCTTTATATCTATCTAGATAGATAGATAGATAGATAGATAGAAAGACAGATAGATAGATAGATAGATTTCTGAGATTATAAAAGAAAATCTGAACAGGACACAAGGAAACGGTCAGCAAAACTGACTATTAAAGTCCATCCATCCATCCATCTTCCTCCGCTTATCCGGGACCGGGTCATGGGGGCAGCAGTCTAAGCAAAGATGCCCAGACCTCCCTCTCTCCAGACACTTCCTCCAGCTCCTCCGGGGGAATGCTGAGGCGTTCCCAGGCCAGCCGAGAGACATAGTCCCTCCAGCGTGTCCTGGGTCTTCCCCGGGGCCTCCTCCCGGTGGGACATGCCCGGAACACCTCCCTAGGAAGGCGCCCAGGAGGCATCCGAAACAGATGCCCGAGCCACCTCAGCTGGCTCCTCTCGATGTGGAGGAGCAGCGGTTCTACTCTGAGCTCCTCCCGGGTGACCGAGCTCCTCAACCTATCTCTAAGGGTGCGCTCGGCCACCTATTAAAGTCTGTTCCTTGATTATTTCAAAAGATAAATTAAACTTATTAAACTTAACTAGGTTCTTCAAAAAGATGTAACTAGAGTCAGAATCACATCCACACAGTTAAACTTCTATTGTATGAATTCTTCATTCATCTGTATATTGAGTTGTGATGGTGCCCTCTAAAGACTAAGAGGATACACTCAAACATGCAGGTTGTTTTACTTTGTCAGTAAATGTTTTATGACACAAAATTTTCCACAGACTATTTTACAGTAAAGTAAAGACAAGAAGATGCCAGTGAAGTCAACACATTCACTGAAGCTTCGCTGCTTTTCTATTCTTTTGCCACACTGTTGCCATGGATACAACAACAAACATGTCTATAAACTCCACTGCCACATTTTCCTGCTAGCACCTCAAGCAGAAAGTCATCTACAGAGGCTCTAGGAGTGTAAGAAATTTTGCAAGGCAAGCTCCTCTTGTAGCACATGTGCAGCAGCAGAGCTGCTTCCAAATGTGAGTTTAATTTTATTTCTGAAATGTTTTGTTCTGAAAAAATGCCTACTGCATCTGGAGCTGCAGGGAGGGTGACTGTAGGAGTAGATTCAACATGGACATTAGATGGGCTGAGGAGGAAAACAAAGCCTGTCAACAGGAACTGGGACTCCTATCTGCAACGGTGGGTAGATTATAGCAAGTACACTGAATTATAGCTGTTCGGCTTTAAAGATTATGTTTAATTTAATTCAGTTTTATTCGTATAGCACCAAATCACAACAAAAGTTGTCTCAGGACACTTTACAAAGTAAGGTCTAGACCTTACCTAGCAAGCACGTGGTGACAACAGGGTGGAAAAACTACCATTAATGGAAGAAACTTCTGACAGACCCCGGCTCTTGGTGGGCGGCCTTCTGCCTCGACTGGTTGGGGTGAGTGGATAGAGGAGAGACAAAAGAAGAAAAGCAACAAGACACAACAAACAATCAAACACTGGGCAGGTTGATGTGGTCAGTGACTGCTCATCAGAAACACAGAGCTCCAGAGCCAGGGCTACCTGCAGAAAGGTACAGGGAGAGAGAGAGAAGACACACTATGGGAGAGAGGAGACACAAAGTTAATGACATACAATGATGGGATATAAAAATAAAATGGAGAGGGGAGGAGCTCTGCATCATGGGATGACCTCAGCCTAGGCCTATAACTACGGGATGGCACACCCAACCAAATTTATCCTAGAAAGCATGTCCAATAACTTCATAGATGCCACTACATGGGCCCAAGCAAAGGCCATCCTGACTAGAAACTGCTGCTATGGTTAAATATACTCAGTGGCAACAGGATGGCACAGGCCCCCTGTTTGCTTGCAAGATGGCTGTCAGCCTCATCCCTGTTCAGCCACATTGGTTGTTTTCATCTCTAACATCTGATATTTTATGGCAGCAGAAGTCACATTTTAAAGAAAGCAATATGGAATATGCATATTATTAGAAATATATTTGATTCAGTTAAGTTTCATGACAGTCAAAATATTCTCATTGTTGATATTTACAGATATCAGGAACTCAAAGGGAGAAAGAAAGACAAAACTGACTTGTTGCATGTAAGTAGATTATCAAGAAGCACATTAAGTTATTGGTTTAGAGGCTAAGAGGCTGTCAGACACAACGTGGTAATGTGACTGTACTTGTGTGATTAAAGGCAGCTTGTTTTTGCACAGGACAAGCGGGAGAATGCCGATCCAAGGAACAACGATAATGAGGATGCTGACAATGTGAAACAAGAGGAAGATCAGGAGGCGCATGTCAACATTCAAGAGGGAAGCCCACAAAAAAATGTCAGCGTGGAAGATCATACTTCAGGAAAACCACCCATTAGAGAGAGATCCAAAAACTCTCGACTGTGCGTTCTCCTTTAAGGCCATCACATCTCACTTAGATCTGTAATGAACCGGTTTTTCCGCACATTTATTTAAACTTCCACACCCTTATGTCTGTGCTTGACTTCTGCAGTAATGTGGACAAAGGGTGAAGCTCAAAGATGACTAGAAACACGGTGCAAGAAGTTTCCTTTTTGAATAAGAAAAGCTATACGTCTATCAGTATTAAATTCAAAACAGGCACACTGTTTGAACAAGTGGTCTTTTAATGTGTCATTATTAATTAGTCTGCAGAACAATGCTGCTGTAATCTAAACATTTAACCTGTGTTTAAATGCTTACATCTGAATTATGTTAGTATATTTTTTTTTTTTGTATAAACAAAACAGCCTCATTTTACAAAACGGTACAGCTACAAAGGCTTCCAGGTTGTTTTTGCTGTTGCATATTCACACTGTGGGTATTCATTTTGTGAACTAAAACGTATTATAAAAAAGTGACAACCCATGAATCAGTCAGCTGACTGTGAGAATAGAAACAGCCATGAAACCAAATTGTCTGCAATCACATATTTCATTCAGGGCATTCTCTCAGCATTAACATTCAGTCACAACAGTAAATATATTAAGCAGCAATAAAAAGAGTGTTCCCTTTTCACAGTGTATTCCTAATAAAGTTCAACACTTCACCTTTTTGTCAATCGCTGGGATTCTCCGTGTTTAAAGTGTACCCAAGTTTTCACAGTGTTTGTTTAGGTCCACTTGTTAGTACTGTACTCCATGCTGAATGCAGTGAGTGAGAACATACAAGAGGAAAAAGGTTAGTTTCCAGTGTTTATTCTTGGTAAACAGGGCAGAGGTTTGTCCATCAGGTATCAGTCACTGTTGCTGCTGCTGCTGTCACTTCTCACCACCATGGTGCTGTATTTCTTTTGCTGCTGCTCTTTGAACGTCTCCTTCACCTTTGCTCTCTTCAGGCCTCCATCCCTGCAGAGGCAGCCGGGTGGAGACAGGTCAAACAGATGCAATAGACTGTGATCCATGTCAACACATCATTTTCACACAGAAACGTGACAACCGTTTTCGTCATTTTCATGTCTTACATTCAGACTGCATGTTCCCCCTGTGGGTGAAAATATTACCCTCAAATACAAACTTTTTTTTACCCACCAACTGTGATATAATGGTATCATTACTTGCGTGTTAAAAGACAGTGAGCTGGTTCTCTCAATTACAGATTAGGCTGAACCTTTATCTGTACTGACTGAATTTTAAGAGCAGATTCTTATGTAGGATTCTTATGTAAGAAAATTCAACGAAATTCAACGAAAATATAACACTGCTGAAAAGTACTCAATTTTAAAACGAGAAGAGGCTGAATCTTACCACTGCAGATCTACCAGCCCTCCCTGGTGAGCGATGGCTGACTTAACTCTGTTAGCAAACTGGACAGCATCTTCTCCCTCCTGCCATTTTTGAATAAACAAAAATCCCAGTCTACTGTTATGTGTGTCTCTATACAGTATATGTGGAGGGGTGTACACATGGCCTTACACATACTTGAGAACATGTCATACACACCTGCTGGTGCATGGCTGGCAGATACCAGACGTCACAGACGATGGCCCAGCTGGTCATCATCCTCAGCAGGTAACTGGCCATGCTATACTTGGAGCTGTTCCAGAAAGCATCTCCAAACTTTGGGTCATACTAAGAAAAGCTCAGAAAATACACAGAGATTCACTGAGGAACTGTACTTTAAAACAGGCACATATGAAAGCCAGAAAGAAATATGACCGAGAAATGGGACTTGACTGACTGACAGGACTGAAGTACCTTAATAGCCACTGGGTATATTGTTGTACCAATTTCAAAGCTTCCCTTTTTAAACATCATGACAGATGTGTTATTGATACAGGTTCCTGCAGAAACCAGACATCATGAGATTTATGAGGACAGCGTTGTGTGAGCTGTCCAAACCCACATAAAACAACTGCTCATTTGTCACCGCTCAGTGGCCAGACTGCCATCAGGCACCGAGCTAAAATAACAACCCTCACTGAGGCTTATCTTTGATGACACAAAGACAAACATAAGACTGGTGTGGTTAAAGTAACTATCATTCTACATGGCCACACTTACCCTCTGGAAATATCAATATAGGAAGCTTTGTCTTGTCATTCACATGATCCTTCATCCTGGAAGCAACACAAAGAGGTAATGGAAACTACTTTATAAATACCTACACATTGTACCCTTGAAGGGTTTTTTTCACATTTGGGACAATCATAAAACATCTGGAACGCAACTAGGTCAAGATGTGATATTATGAGAGAATGGAATCCAAAGTGTATGAGTCACTGTCCAGTAATGACTCGACTCTCTAAAGCACATCTGTTCTTGTTCACATAATAAGAGATGGAGAAACTCTAGATGATTTTAATGCCAGGAAAATGCCAGCCTTTCTTAGTACCAGAGCAGCCACAGAGAGAAAACTGAGGCAAGCGAAATGTGCAGTGACAAGCCTGAAAAAAAAAATCTGGACAACTGACCTTTTGGCCACTAGGTGGCGATCTTTCATCTCTGCTCTCTCAAACCAGATGTGAGGACAGGATCTCACCGTGGCTCTCTGTATAACTCCCATCAAGCCACCATGGACCTGACCCACCTGCAAAACATTTCTTGAAAATTATGGGAACACAATGATTTTCCATTTTAAAAAATACCTATAGAAATGTTACATACCATAGCATAACACCCATCATTGCCCAGAATCACAATGTCGATAGGAGAGGTGTGATTGGCAACACAGATACCCCCTTTTTGGGGTTTGTTCTCCCTGTCATTGTGAGGTGAAGACATGAGGTCAGAAGATAAAGCTCTTTTAGAAAGTCACTTAGTGAGAGGATTTGCTGTACATACCTGTTGTGATACCGTATAGCAGCAGAGAGTCCTCGAGCACAGATTCTAAAGCACATGATGTGGACCCATTCACTGAGCCAGGGCTTAATCCTAAAAACAGACATTTACACACACAAAATCAGGAAAGAAAACAACTGAGGAGGAAAAGTAACTGAAAATATGTGATACACAAAAAGATTTTTTTTGAAAACTATAGTTAAATTTTGTTGTTACCTCCAGTTTGGAATTAATCCAACTGCAGATGTTCCTATTGCCAACCAGGTCAGGCCAATGAAGGCCAGTGTTAACCTGGAGAGAGAGAGTAACACATTTGTCTTCAGTTTCCAAGCAGCAAAAACAAAAAACAAATCATATACATTATAAATATTCATAATTAAAAAAAAAAAAAAAAATCAGATCTGTGGAGTTAACATTTTCATTAAAATAGTTAGAGAAATGATAGAAGCTTGGTCAGATAGGACATTGTTGGAGGTGCGCCAGTTACTGGTATTGGTAAGTGACTGTCAAACTCAGAGAAAAAGAAACATATCATGTTCTATATTTTAAAAAAACATTTTGCAGATGTAACGTTTTGATATTTGCTTGATATCAACTTCTTCCTCTCTTACACCTTTGCATTTAATCTCAGCAAAAACATTTTTTTTTTAAATCAGAACAGAAACAAAGGACACTTGAGCTCAGACTTTGACATTATTTCTCTCTGGAGGAGGAGTCTGCCTCTGTATCACAAAAATTAAATGCCAACTTAATTTTGCAGCCAGCTCTATTCAATATTTGTGTACCTGAGTGGGGTAAGAATGCAGTACCGCACAAATATCCCAAAGCCGTAAACCAAAGTCAGCCGCAGACTGATGTACTGGAAATCGTTACTGGTGCGAGTCAGTAAGTTCCAGGACATTAGCTCCTCTGAAGTGAACCGCTGGGTCACCTAAATATTGAATCAAAATTAAATATTATACTAAAGTCTGAAATGCAAAATCATGGATTACAAATTCACCAAATATCAATAAAATAAGAAACTGTGTTCTTGCTAATAAAGTAAAAATGAACCTCATCCTCTACAATGCTCTCAATTCCTCTCCGAGTGAAATAAAAACAGTCGCTGAGTGCAAAATCACCGCCCACTGGTGGCTTGGGGCGACTGCGTCTGAGTTCCTCTAACTCTTTTTCCATAGAGCCATCTTCCCTCTGAATGAGACCTGAAACAAACACAATCAAACTCAATCATCTGTAATCTGAGTAGCAATCTGGAAGACAAGTCAACCTTCCCATATCTCTTAATTAAGTGTTGTTGGTATTGGAAAAGGAACTGTTTTGACTAGATAGGGAAAAAATTAATCAGGAATGTGCGACTTGGAAAAACATCACATTCTGGACTTTGCAAGAATGATATGAAACTAATGCAACATAAATTATTACAATACATCAAACTATTAATTTACCTCAGATGAACAAGGTTTAGAAAATAGCAAAAGCAAATCATAACCACTTAAATGCCATTAAATGCCAATAACAAGCAGACTCTGGAAACGCTGGCACAGATAAGAGCCCAGGTGAGGTTCTGCATTAAGACTTCTCAAATTAATGAATAATAGCATGAGAGCTGAGAGGGCAGCATGGTGACGCAGTAGTTAGCGCTGTTGCTTCACAGCAAGAAGGTTCAGAGTTTGAGCTCTGGACAACCCTGTGCCTTTCTTGCAGAGTTTGCATGTTCTCCAGCCAAAGACATGCAGCTTAGGTTGACTGCTGACTCTAAATTGCCTGTAGGAGTGTGTGTGGGTGTGTGGGGTTGCCCGTCTCTAAGTGTCAGCCCTCTGATAGAGTTGCGACCTGTTGGATGGCTGAGAGTTGTTCAGAGAGCAGGTTAAAGTTATGGCAGCGGCATAACACCACCATAACCCTATCCACCTGACAGGTCTCAGCACAGTCAAGAGTTGGTCTCAGCTTAGACTCCACATTATCTGATAACTCAGCAGGCAGCATTCAAAACCTGGATTAAACAAACCGTTTTCAATATTCAGTCTTTCAATAGTCAGCCTTATCTCTGTTAACAAGCACTTGCACTCCTTGTATTCATCATTCACATTTAAAAATGTAACACCGATATACCTTGGACTTTTCCAGAGGAACGATTCTGATAACACAACTAACATCTCTATGTGCCTCAGCAGGGGGACAACACCCTGTGCAGCTTAGTGACTGATAAAGACTTGAGTAATTGCATCTTTTGAGATAGGCAGAGTTTCTGGAGCAACTTCACCTGTTTGCCTATCATAAAAGTTTGTAAGTTAACCGAGTCATAATGCCAGACAGAACTGCTCTGTGCAGAAACAGCAACCCTATGGTGCAAAATAAAACTATTTAAATCTGATGTACAAGGTCACAGCATTTTCATCCTGTGAATATTTTTATGTGAAAGAAACCTTCTCCATGAAACAGCTCAATCACTCTTTTAATATCATTGCAACATGCCTGCCCAGACTTGCCATAAAGTATCTTATGAAATCTAGTATTGCAGAGCAACACATATCAGTTACTACACACTCATCTTTCACAATGGTATGACAAAGATCTTCCATTAGAAGAGTGCCCTTATCACAACTATTTAATATTTTAGAACTAAAAATTTCATCAATATATCCATCTTTCTATCTACTTTAAACATTCTGTCAGAGATTTTGACTCACCATTGGATGGAACGGCTTTGAGAATTTGTTCATCTGTGTTTGCCTTCTGTATCTTCAGGGTGGCCCACTGCAGAGGAGGACAGACAGAAGATACTCATGGACATCTCTCATCCAGTGGTTGAGAATCAGAATATCTGCAAAGCTTAAAGTGTGTACATCTGCGAGAAACATAATGAAATAAACAACAGTAGCCTACCTCTAAGGTTTTCACCAGGATGGTCATGTAGGTCTCGGAGATGCCCAGTGAGAAGCCAAACATGGCTGGGAACATGATGAGGCTGATGATGAGGTACAGCCAAATCTTCATTGCCCAAAGGGCCACTGCCCAGAAATCCTCCATCTCCACCTTATTCCCTGAAGTACAGCTGGCTCAGATGTGGTGTAGTCCTCTATGTGGTTGTGGGGAAGTCATCGAGGCAAAAGCAGACAGCATAAATTCATCATGCCTAAACACCATCACTGGCCACAAAGGAAGACCAGAATTCATAGTGACAAGGAGAGCAAGGTCGTGAAAATAGCATGAAACACTGCAGTTAATTTAACCAGGAGCAAAGCCTCCACACTTCTTAGATAAACATTTAAACGCGGGCGAAGAGTGTCCGCTTCCTGCCCATATACCAGGAATAGCCAGTCTATAGCAGGGTTCTTCTATATTTGGAATGCATGACTTTACACAAGCCTGCATTCTATTTACTACAGTCACCAGTATTATTTGCATTATTTTTAAGTTACAACACATTATCTTACCCGTCAAACTACAGTCCACAACCTGTTGTCCTCAAGGGCTGAGCACAGGGAGCAAACACACCTACTTCTTTTTTCTCCTCTTGTTCTTCTTCTTCTTTTTTCTTACTGGAACAAAGTTCACGGGGTTGACTTGCAGCGCCCCTCCGAGGCCAAAACGGGGAGCGCAGACACGTGGAGCTGGGATGGACTCCAGCAAAGCTAATGGCTAACTCTTGATATTCCACGTAGCTAAATACTGAACTTGGGAAAACTTAGTTCCAGCGCTTTGCATCATATACAGAATTCAGCGAATTACAAAATATCCTGGAACTCAATCAGATTAGCTGATTAAATGAAGACTATAATAATAATATAAGAAAAGAAAAACCAAACAAAATCTTCACTTATTCTTGAACTTGGTAAAAGCATAGGCTAAATTCTTATTACAAGGTCCTCTTCCCTTTTTTTGGAGGGAGGGTTTGGTCCAAAAATAAACAATTTTACATTAAGGGTTAGAATCAGAATCAGCTTTATTGGCCAGGTGTGTTGAACACACGAGGAATTTGACTCTGGTACATCAGCTCTCAATGTGCAAACAGTAAACCAGCATAAGGCTGTGTGATATAACAAAATAGCAGTATTAACATCAACAAACAGTGCAAACAATGCAGAATAAGCAGTATAAAGAGACAGTAAACAATCCAGACAACAAAGGAATATTCGTTGAAATTAGATAAATAGGGATAAAACCAGATTACTTAAGAACTAGAGACCTGTACGAGTCTGTATAATCTGTACAACGTATATATATACACAGGTATTGCACTGAGGGTTATTGTCCAATCATACTGTCGTTGGTTAAGTGTTCATCAGAGTGACAGCCTGGGGGAAGAAACTGTCCCTGTGCCTGGTTGTCTTAGTGCACAGTGACCTGTAACACCGTCCAGAGGGGAGGAGTTCAAACAGATTGTGTCCGGGGTGTGAGGGGTCTGCAGTAAACCCCCCTTGCCCTCCTTTTGACCCATGAGGTGTACAGGTCCTCCATGGAGCGCAGGCTCACACCAATGACCTTTTCTGCAGTTCTGACTGTCCGCTGAAATCTGTACTTGTCCTGTTTGGTTGCTGAGCCAAACCAGACAGTGATGGAGGTGCAGAGAACAGACTCGATGATTCCTCTGTATGTACACTGATGTATCAACTTTATTTCATTTATCTAACAATTTATTTTTTTTTACTATAAGGTCATGTATTGATTCTGAGAATCTTATGTCTGTAAGAGCATCAGCCACTGATACAGCTGCTAAAATACTGGGCTAAAACTGATGCCTTTTGGGCAACAGTAAAAGCCTACTACTGTAATAAGATATCCCAAAGCTTTCAGACCTGTTACTCACAACACAGAGAAGCCTTTTGAGGCACAAGGACACAATCTCTCTGTGTTAAGCCTCTCTCTCCAACCGACCTGAGACATGATCTTGATTCTTTTCCAGGTTCTGGCATTTCACAGTCAGTTGCATATTATGGTAACCATGGGGTGGCTACAGACGGTAAATTCTAAGAGGCTGATTCATTCTGGGATTGAACCTAATCCAGAGAGTTTTCTAAACCACAATGAAACTTCTTGGCAAAGGTGCATATTCAAAAGAAAATTGGTTGCCAGCCATAATAACATACAGGAATAAATGCCATATGATAATGCTATTCATACATAAAACTTCTCCCCTCATTCAAAAATATGTGATCACTGGAGAGGAGGAAAGGCAGCGCCAACAGGACCAAGCATGGTCTCTCTGAGGGGAACTCCTGCCACCTCATTGGAACTGTGGAAACCTCTGGTGTACGTGGAACTGCTGCCATCAGCACTTGTAAAGGACTGGTAAGTAATCACATTGTCTTGCATGATTAATAGGGTCAAAAGGTTCATTTTAACCAGAGTCTCATTCATCAAGCTTTTATGTGGAATCCTCCTAAGTCAGCACTGAAGATCATTTTTCGTTGCGTTTGGCAGGAAGGTTTTTTAACACTCAGGAGAAAGGGGGCATCCCTCTGGGGAAGCAAGAATGTTGTTTCATCAGTCATGGGCTGTTAAGAATAGCCCTACTGTTAGTGTGCCCATCAAAGACTTCTTGACACTATTTATGCTGCAGACCTGCTGACGACTGGATCATCCAACAGGGGGCAGTATTTACACCGGAAAGCACTCACTGAGGCAACCTGCTGACTGTATCTGTGAGGTGTGTTCTTTTATTTTGAGAAGAGAAGACTAAGAAAAGGATATTTCACAGTGTGAAATTTATTATGCATTAACCTATCAAAATTAGCATGTGCACATGGATCTTCACTGTTTTGGGAAAACAGAAAAGACTGCCCTCAACTTATATACATACAATATTTGTATGAAAAGGTGCTACTATCTAATTGGTCAAAAACTGTTGGGGAGAAGCCGTGGTTTAGATTTAACTCTCCCGTTATTGATCCTTCAGTCCGTCCATCCTCCAACATCCTTTCTGCTCCAATCGTCGAGGACAGCGCCCTAGGAAGGGGAAGAATACCTATACTGCCTTCATTTCTACATACTGTAGAAAGAAATTCATGACAAGAATAATATAGTGCCATGTTATGTATTAGCAAATAATATCTACATGTTTATTTCAGTATCATATGCGTTAGTGCAGGAGACTTATGGCTGATAATAACAGAACATGTGTAGGCTGTAAGACTCAAACAGGAAAACCACGAACAGGAACAAGGTCAGGTTGCATAACAACGCTGCCTGTCACTATCACAAGGGTAGATGAGACATGAGCCAGAGTTGCTGTCTCTACAACTGCAGACAATGACTAACTGTTTGTAGACGTATGTAGGTGTGCAATGTCTGTCTGTTTCAGAAGGTCAGGATGTTGTTTTTAGAATTTCACAGATCCCTGACAACAAGGGCACCAACCAATGAGGAGTCGGAACGAGGTCGCACGAACGCAAGGAATGAGGATGAAGAACAACACGGATGACGTCAGATCTACCTACATTTGCATATTCCTGATTGTATAAACACTGGGTTGAACTAGGATAGGGGTTCATCTTTTCTGAAGAAAGAGCGAACCACACTTGTGTAATTTGGAAAGGGCTTCAGTTTAAATTGGAACCCAGAGCGCTCTGTAATTGCTTTTCTTTAACATTGTTAACATTGTGTTAAAATATCTTAAAGGTTGATCTGACTTCGACTCTTCCTCAGAAACGAACATGCAGGACGGTTAAGTCCAACAATACACACTCACTTCTTCCTTTGTCTCCAATTAACTGCTCCATATTAGGCATTGCTTTCTGTTTCACTAATTAAAACTGTTCTGCCTGTGTGAGTGTGTATGTGGGTGCATAATGGTTCTAGCTTTGAAGTTTTCTCTTCTGCTAGCCTCCAGATCCAATCTCTGTTTAACTAACCTTGGAGTCCCTGTGAACCGTAACTCTCCTGGCTCCACTAGCTCAGTGGAGATAATAAATTCACTGTGGACTCTCTTAGCCAGAGCTGTAAATCTAATGAGATTCAGAGCACATGAACTGTTCACATAAGGCTGATGCACTTATGAAAGGCTGATGCATTCATGAAAATGCAAATTACTTTATAACTTTTTTTGTAATGCATTTTTCTGGATTTTTTTGTTATTGTCTCTCACTGTTCACATAAACCTACCATTGACATTGTAGACTGATCATTTCTTTGTTAGTGGGCAAACAAAATCAGCTGGGGTTCAAATAATTTTTTCCCTGATTGCATGTGCAAAGGATCATTGCCTTGCAAAATCTATACTACAGACACATTAGGGCCGTTTCACACTGGGTTCCCGGGAAAGTTTCCGGGCACACTTGTCCGGAAGCAGCAGTTTATCCCCCTCCCTAATCCCCTGCAGGTTTGTGTTCACACTGGTAAAATCCTTCTGTTCCCGGGAACACTTTGTTACCATAACAACTGATACATCCACCTGTTAGTGTGGATGTTTTTATTGAAAATTCCAAATAAAAGTTCAATTTATTACCATAGCCATCGTCTTTTATTGTTTTTAAGGTAGATTCAATGCACGTCTATCTGTGGATGTGTGTGTGTGTGTGTGTGGGAGCGAGAAATGCACACAGGGCTTACTCTCGCCCGATGCGAGTTTCTTTGTCTGGCTGCACTGACATTAGTTTGCTCTTTGATCAGATCAGGCGCTGTAACTATTTTTAATATGTTATTTGTTAACCTCATATCATTACAAACCATTATCTGACTGCAGCTCACGGTGAGTGACGTGTGTAACAAGGTGTTAAATGTCACACGCTGTCCGAAAAGTCCAACCTTCCATGCCCTGAAATGTTTCCCAGACCACCTCTGCAAGTGTTCCCGAGAACCGCGCCTGTTCCCTGGAATCAACCGTTTCCCGGGCCAAGTGTGCTCAAACATTTCCGGGAACCCAGTGTGAAATGGCCCTAAATAAATTAATTGTATTGTATAAATTATTTTTTTCATCATATAGATTAAAATAGATGAGTGATATTTTGGGTTATCTTGTCACTAAGATGCATTTCCTTACAGTCCCAGAGCGTTGAGAAAAAAAGGGATACTGTTGTCTGTTGCCTCATTGAATACCTTGGGGAACACCAGGAGGACCTCTTCCAAGATTGCCAAGTATGTTTTTAAATGTTAAGTTCTCTCCTCTTTCTCCTCTCATCTTCTATCTCTTGTCTGCTCATTATCTTTCTCTTCTTTCATCTCCTCTTTCTCCTCTATTCATTCTTTATGTCTTCCCTCCTTTCCTTTTATTATCACTTATTTCTACTCCTTATTTTTCTCCTCTCCCATTATTTTCCTTTTCCTTGCCCCTTATTAACCCTTATCGTTAAACACTGATTTTAACCAGTTTTTTAAATACTTGTTTAATAATTTGATGAATCAAACTAAATTGCTGATTAAAAATCAGCTTGTGTAAAAATGTATTCCTTGACCAATTGAAATGTATTGGAATGTCATCTTTTTATTATCTGTAGATTAAAATGTATGTGCTTTATCTGTTTTTATCTAGTATGATGAACTGGAGGGCCCCATGGATCAAGCCATGAAGGTGCTTGTTGTCCACAATCCCATGGCTGATCAC